CATTCATTACCAATAGTTTGAGACTATATCTTGGGAACAATAGTCTCACAGAGATTGCGGCTAAAACACACGGCGATCAAATTTTAAGCTTATCTGAAAATGATTAATAGTAAACTTATTCATTTCATTGCAAAAATTCTCTTCAGTAACAGGCCCACCATACCATGCCTGTTCACAAACGTTTTAGTTATCAGTTCTGGATAGTACGCAACACGTACCAGCCGAAATGCGTCATATTCATTTTGAGTTTTCATTTTCAACATAATAAAAAAAAACAGAAAACTATTAAGCTTCATGTGACCACCTGCTACATTACACCAGGTTCAAAGCCCGATAACAAACTGTTTTAACAGTCTGATTTCCATGCTATTCTTTGGAGCAACCTCTTGATAAACCGCCTTTTGTCTGGATGACAGTCGTGAAAAAAAGCCTGGAAAATGGCGAAGACTGAACGTAACATCGCAAAAATTTAAGAGCCATAGTCGCAAAATTCTGGATCAAAAATTGCTCGCAGTATTATTTGGACAAACACTGGAAATTTAAAATTTGGTTGCAAAAAATATAATTGAACTATGTCAAGATATATTCCAATTAAAGTTTAGAAAACTGACAGATGCTTCCATTTGTCGTTTTCTTGCAAGCAAACTTTAGAAATAGGTTTACCTCAATAAAAATCTTGAATAGGTGTTTTACAGTGTGGTTAAGTGAACCTAGATATAGTTTTTTTTTCGGTCGCGTGGGGGAGCATCGGTTGCACCATATACGTTTTAGTTGCAAAAATCTTGGAGTTCTAATTTTTGGCCAATTTTGCAACCCGAAAACCTGAACATACAACGCCGCAATGCGGTCCTCAATCTGGGTTCTAACTTTGCAATTCTGAGCTCAGCTGCCTCAAACACTTGTCACTAAAACCGTTGTTTTTCAAATTATAGCAAACAGATTTAAGCCAACAAGTACACTAATCATGAAAACAATTTGCTGATTTATAAAATACCTTATTGCTATTTGTCTTTTGATTACAAGACAATTGTTGGTTTTCGTTGGTTTTCCCGTTTTCAATTATTTGTTTCATTGCAGCATCCGCTCAATATATATTTCGTATAATCACTGATGATGATAATTGTCCGACAAAATTCAAGTGCAGCATCTGAATTTTCATTAAAAACCTGTTCATCGACCGATCAAGCATTTCACGCCATTTTTTCTTCTAACTCAGAGACTGCTTTTTGCATATTTTCCAATAACTTCAATCGAAATGAGTTCTATAATTATTTGTATTGGCGCCGAGATTTTTAGCCTGTCTGAATAATTTTCGTCATTTTGAGGCGCAGCAGCTTCGTTTTTGATTTGATTGCAATACTCTGTGCAATCATACTTCATGAAAAATTCTTTAGGTGCTTCTTCACTGCAAAAAGGGGGTGCTGTCTTGTTCATTCCCTTCATTTCCGAGTCATAGCCTTCTTTCCATGTTTTTTCATACTCTTTGCACTGAGAGTAAGTTCCCGGGAGAATGGGGGGACTAGTAAATTTTTCCCATACACGTCTATCAAGAACTAAAAACATTGAAACTAGATGTGTTTTACAGTGATGTTAAGTGAACCTGGATATAGCTTTTGGGTTGCGTCAGTGGCGCCGGTCGCTTCATTTTCTCTAATGCGAAAGTCGCTGCGTTTTTTAAGATATGAAAATGTGTAAATTAGGCTCTTTTACTGCCTCTTTTTTTCTGATTTTGTATAAATGAATAATTGCCATGCGTTTGAAAATAATTTATTTTAATTTTTTCAAATTAATTTGGAATACAATAATTATACAATTTTATATTGAAAGCGTACGAAAAAACATAAAATAAACTTGTATAAGCATGTTTTCAATCAAACTTTCTCTTCAAAAACTATCTTATATTGGTTTAAATCTCAGATATAGCAAAATTATGGCAGTTTTTGTTAATGAGGGCAACTTGAGAATCATGAAAATGATTTCAACAACAGCATGCGTATGACAGAATTTTTATATACAAACTTCAAAAACTAAAAAATGGGGTAAAACTTTTTTAGTATTTTTTATTGCAAAGTCGCTTCTGTGCTTAAATAAACAATTTACGGGAAAAAATTGCTAGTAGCAAAAACGCCAATGCCACAATCGCAGACGAGTCAACATGTAGCGAGCTATCCATTAGTGAACAGGACTGTTTTAAAAAAACTAGAGCCGCTTATTGTCACACTGAGCGCACACTGGAGAAAGAAGGAAAGAAAGAATTTATTTCTTCAGACATACAAATACATTTACAAAAAAAAATCAAACAATTTAAGCAATTAAAAGTTGGTAAAGGTACGTTTTATCTAAAAAAGATAGTCTAAAAGCAAATTAGGTGCCCACTAAATGTCTACCCAGTATATACTGACTGAGACATAGAACGTTATTGTGTAGATATAGATAGTTATTCAAGCAGCAAGCATTTTTGTAAGTATTTGAAAAATTTCATATTTAAAAAAAAATGGCGTTTTCTCGAAAACCAACAACTTCTAGAAGGTCGTATTTTTTTGGGTGGAATCAAAGCTTCAGATGGGTTTCTGATAGCACCCAAGTTAAGCAACAATTTTTGAAGAGAAAAAAGAAGATTTTTTTCTAGGTTTGTTTTTTCTTAATATTTGAAAAAAAATCAAAACTTTTACAAAAATGGCGTTTTCTCGAAAACTAGCAATTTTGTCATATTTTTAGGGTAGAATCGGGGCCCCAGATAGGTCTCTGGTAGCATCCGTATAAAGGACCGATTATTGAAAAGAAAAAATCTGTTTCTTATTTTTTTAAAGTACTTAATATATTTCAAAATTTTTTTTACAAAAGTGGCGTTTTCTCGGAAACAAGCGTTATCTGGAAAATCAAATTTTGGGATTTTATCAGAGCCTCAGATGGGGTTCTGATAGCATCAAGTTCAAGCACCAAATTTTCGGTGGAAAATCAGATCAGCTAAATACGCTATGTACTAACTAACTATTACCTAGGATGTAATTGTCTCTAAATTTGTGTACAAAAGAATTTCATCATTTTTTGCCATTCTGCTCATTTTAATAGGCAGAAGATTTTTTAGGCAACCTTGAACCTCTTTTAGTTAATGAGTACAACTTAGTTTTAGTTTTGCAGAATAGGGATGAATAGGTTAATTTATCCAAATTGTTTTTAACAGCGAATGTTTTTAATGAGAACAAAAAATTTAGATATTCCGTCAGGTTTCTACTACCTAAAGATCTCAGGCAAAACTTCAGTAGATCAGAAACATAAAACTCGTCAACAGATTAAAAAATTTTATCAAAAAACTTATCAAAAAAATCATTCGGATTATTTTCCGCTGGTACATTGGAACTTGATTCAAAATCAAAAAACTAGTACCACCATACATGAGCAAGCCATATTGTATTATTGGCTTTATGCTAGTATTATAGTACTTTATTTCGGAACATAATGCCTCATTTTTGAAACAACACCGCAATGCCTCCCTAATTTAGTTTTTCATTTTTTGGATACGACGTATTATTGTCAGCTTAATATCAAGTTTCACGCCTATATACTTACACTACGACATGGCATTATAAACAATATCAACAAGAAAATTAGAAGCACTTTTATTTCTTTCAAAACGGATTAATTTGGTTTTGTCTGAATTAATGGTTAATTTATTTGATTTCTCCCACGCCGAATTTTTTGTTAAATCATGATGGTCAAATTCAAAATTTGCGCTCTCCTACGCTATATTTGTGATACCAGCAAACATAAAAAACATTCGAACTTGATGCAGCGTGATGCATAACATTTATGTAAACTTAAAAGAAAAGAGGATCTAAAACAGAACCTCAAAGGATGCCCGTGGTCACTGGTAACCAATCCGACCAGCAGTTGTTTGCATGAACACGTTGAAACCTTTGGAGAAAAATTACTATTGAACCAAAAAAGGCAATTACCCCGGTCACCAAAATTTTCCAGTTTATTCAACAGAATTCTGATATCAAGAGTATCAAATGCTTTTCT